ATGTATAGTGCATGTAAAACTGGGGATATATACCGTGAATTTCATTTCCTGGCAATGTTATAATGACAGATAGGCCTCGGTTTCAATACTAACTTTATGTTAACGTAATGTACTTTTGTGTTCATCTTTCGTTCCCAATCTGAGTCACTGAATTCCTACGCTCGTAAGGCCGTAAGATTATGCGGGATAAACGGAATCGGTGCTGAGTTCGGTCGCGTCCGGTCGGCAGTGTTGTAACCAAGTCATTTTTTTCCAAGTTAAGTCAAATCCCAAGTCAAATTTTAGCAAGTCAAGTCAAGTCTCAAATCATTTTTTCCAAATCAAGCCAAGGCTCGAGTGTAAAAAATAGCGACTCGAGTCCGACTCGAGTCCGAGTCAGCGACTCGAGTCAACAAGAGAAAAAAATCTAGCGGAAAACCGTCAGCACCCGTCTAAAACCTTCAGACCTTTCTCCACCACAGCTCACTTTTGAAAATTTCAGGAAAACTTCGAGTTCTTTGTTTCGAGCCTTCAAAAATTGCATCAATATGTAAACAAACTACCGCTTACGAAAACAGCTTTTTACAAAACATCACTAGTTTGGACCACTCTGCTACTATTTCTCATTTTATTTTCACAAAAGACGTTAGAAAAAGACCTTATCTAACCATGAAAATATTTTGGGGCAGGTATTTTTATTTTCAAAAAGTGAAAATAAGACGTAAATTTCATGAATGAATCAGACCCTAAATGACCCTAAAAGTAGGACATGCGCAGTTAATAATTTCCCTTTGAAGCATAAATCAGTTCCTCCAAGTTGTTCGGGCGCTGGTTGACGAGCGACGTAAGGGCCGTGTGTGCACTAAAAGTATGGTGTTCTATAACTGCTGAAATTGCGTCACGTCGTCCTGTCGCCCCGACGCTACAACGGCCCCGTCGCGTCGTGGCGTCGCCTCCTTTCTCATTTCTTTTATGCTGTGTATGCTTTATGCGTTGCGTTGTGCCGTCCTGCGTCGCATCGTGCCGTCGTGGCGTCGAGTCGTGCCGTGTTGTATCTTGATGCCGTCGCGTCGT